TACCCTTAGGACGAGGCGGAGAGTTCAGGGTGGGACAAAGCATCTGAGAGAAGAATGTAGTGTACTTTTGAAAGGGAAAAGAAAAAGAAGAAAAAAAGAAAGCAAGAAAAATAGGCAATCCACAATGAGAAGTACTTAAGAAAATTTTAACGTACTTGAAATTTCCAAAATAGTCAACTCAGTCGATGTGAGGGAGGCGCTCTTCCTCCGCTGCAGTGACGTCGTCGTTGCCCTTCGCTCGATCTTCAACTCTCTCTCTCTCTCTCTCTCTCTCTCTCTCTCTCTCTCTCTGTCTGTGTGTGTGTGTGTGTGTGTGTGTGTGTGCTCCCTCTGTGTGTGTATGTGTGGTCCCTCTCTCTCTCTCTCTCTCTCTCTCTCTCTCTCTCGGGGTGTGTGTGTGTGTGTGTGTGTGTAAAGTGCGTGTGTCGGGGATCCCCTATAGAAGATGTCCTGCCCGAAAAAAAAATAATGCTTCTGGGCGGCATAAGAAGGTGCTGACACTGTGACATTTTTATTTTTATTTTTAAGTAAGCTATATTCTTCCCTCATCTACCCCATCTTCTTGGTAGTACTTATATATCTCATCCCCTCACCAGTCTATGTATACATATATTACGGGGGAACACTACTTATATATCTCATCCCGTCACCAGTCTATGTATATGTATATTATGGGGGAACACCAACCAACCCGGATCTCTTCCCAGCCGACGCGTTGGTGGGGACCACAGCTATGGTGCGAGGGCAACTGAACGATGACGCCATGATTCCAGTCAGATAAATTCGGGCTGGTTTGCCATCGCAATTGCTGTCAAATCCATCCACCTCCGCCTGCAATCGCGGTTTGATACATCGAGAAGAGCACGAATGTGACCGTAAAAGATTGACGAAAAGGTACTAAAGAAAAGCGCGAGTAGACTCGTGAGTGTACGTGATTGAGGTGGGGAAAAAAAAAAAAAGTCTGGACGTAAAAAAAGGTTTTTTTCCCCGTCAGCTAGAGGGATTACTAGGTGGGAGAGTCCCCAGGGCCGAGGTCCCACTAGCAAAGCGGATCGGATCGAATGCCTGAATCTGCATGTCTCTTATGGAGAGATGCAGAAAAGCAGTTCAATCTTTATTTCCTGCACCTCTCAACAAACACGTCCAGATTCAGGCATTCGTTCCGATCCTCTTTGCTGGTGGGACCACGCCCCAGGTTGGGCCTCCCTTGGGATAGTGATGAATAGGGAACCAGCTTATGATAGAGGTATTAGGTGGAGAGTCCCCAGGACCCCAGGTAGGGCCTCCCTTGGGACAGAACAGAATAGGCCCAGTCGATGAACAGGTAGAGGAAAGGATGATGGCCAATTACGTACCAGCAATTTTTGGACGTAATTGCGGTCAGATACATCCCCTCTGGGCAAAATTTTGACTAAATTGCGGCAATGAAGTCCAGGACTTTGCGGGATGTATCTCGCCGCAATTACGACGCAAAGGGGATGCATCTCTTGTCCTTGGGAACATCCGTACAAACGAGGAACGATAAAATATAACAAAATAAAGTGAAAATGGAAGGATACAGAGAAGATTAGCATGGAAAAAGAACGGAGGGAAAATTGCTGAAATGCCCCTGAAAGTTGAGGTATTTGGTCCGATACCCCTAAAAGGCAGGGGTACAGCGAAATGCCCCCATGACATGCCCCTATGACAGCCGTGAAACCCCACCTCGTGCCAATTGGACCTGTCATCTCTTGCACATACCCCTACCAGGCCCTTGACAACTTGCCTATATGCCCAGGTATTTGGATCCTTTGGACCATGCAGATGGTAAAGAAAACGTACATGCCCCAGCAGCCCAGGGCGAGGGCATATGGCAAAGATGCAAATGAGGGCTACAGGGGCAGGTGCAGAAGTTTGGGGCATTCCGGCGTACCCTTGTCCTTTAGGGGTATCTAACGAAAGACCCCAACTTGTGGGGGCATTTCAACCAATTTTCCGAGGAGAAGAAAGGGGGAAAGAAAAAGGGAAAAAAGAAGAAGACCGTTGTTGTTCTGGTTCAGGTCCTTGAGGACTCTGGGGGGGAACCTACAGTTAGGGCTGTCTTGGAGATAGAAGAGGGTGGGATGGCCAACCAGCTTCCCACCTTGACAAATAGACCACAATAGGCCCAGTTGATGACAGAGGTGAGAGGAACAAATGAAGAGGGGAACTGGGGCTGCTCTAGAGGGGTCTAGTTGATGACTCAGGTAAGGGGACAGATGGTGGTCATAGACCCGCAAATGACAGAGGCCTTTCCTTTTCTTTTCTTTTCTTTTCTTTTCTTTTCTTTTCTTTTCTTTTCTTTTTCTAAGAAACAAGTGCGGTCGCGGCAGGTTTTGAGTTCACAAATGCAAGACAAACGCGGCAGGTTTCGAGTTCGCAAGGCAAAAAAAGCATTTGCTGGCAAAGATATCACCACAGGAGTTTGAAACGACAATTTGGTTGGTTGGAATTAATCCGTTGGCGGCTGGCCCTTTTTTTTTTCCCCTGTCCCATCTGACAACACTGCCCACCCTTGTAGTTATGACACCTGTGCTTCTGTCACGGCTGCGGTACCTTCATTGCAGCTTTTTCTAACTCGGCGGCTGTTTTCTTTGCAGGCGCGTGTTTTTCGTTCGCATCCAAAACTCTGTTGTGACATCAACATACTTGCCCCTTTTTTTTTAAGGGGTAACTTCAGTAGAGTCACAAAAATGAGTTATAATTGCACTGCGGGGCAAGATAGGGTCTGCAATTGCACATCGGGCACCCTACGTGGCAGAAAGCTGGGTTGTATCTTGTATACATTGCCTGAACTGCAATTCCAAACTGTATCTTGGCCCATACTCCAATCATAACTCATTTTTGTGACTCCCGCGTAGCTTTCCCTTATTTTCAACTCATAGCAGGGCGGTTCACTTAGTGGGGTGGTATGAGCAGCCTCCCTAAGTGTTCCCTGCATCAGAGGCTCCATCTATTGGTGGGAAGCTGCAGGACCTGCTGGAAACCGGGTCTAATATCGTCACGTCAAGGCACAATGTTGTGGAGTTGCTTGAATGTATCTAGCTGATTGTTTGAGAGGTGTATAACCAAGGTCTTAGACCACCAGTACTTGGCCCAGCTATCAGCCGCGGAAAAAAATAGAGTAGAAACGTTTCTAGTCGGATGAATTTGTGCGCTCCTGTAGTTGCCCGTACATGTCCTAAAATCGTGGCGTGTTAATCGGCACGAAAGTTTCTTCCCTGCAGCTGACTGCAAGGGTATAATTGCCAACTGGCAAATGGCATACAACCAACAACGATCAGAACAACAATAGTACGACTGTTAGCACAACAAGGTGACCAGGAGAGGGATCTTGGGGGACACCTATAGGTAGAGGGGCCGATGATGTACACCAGCTAATAATAGGCTAGAACCTCTAGGTCCATCTAGAACCATCACAACAATCGATTTAGTTGTGCTTGGGCCCAAAACATCACGCTCAGTGAATTGATCTTCGCTATGAAATTCATTACCTTGCACAACACGAAGATCACACCACGAACTCTGCAAACACATCATCAATACTGAGCTATTCAAATCTGTTCAACAACCTTGGCGAGGGGTAAGAATCATAGGCAACGTTAATGGGATAATTGGTAGAAAGAGCCCACGCCAAAACCTTTCCGGTTTTGGGCGCCCGAAACTCGGTCGTTTGGTACTACCGGCCCAAACCGTCGTCAGCTTGGATGAAAGGCTTCTTCACGCCGTGGCCACATCTCCCCGGGCCTGTTTCTACCGGTTCAAGAATTTGGCGCTGTTTTTGCGCTTGATTCATGAACTGGTAGGGCCCTTCTTTTTCAAAACCTCGTACGTGGGCCTCATTCGATACTTCAGCGGTACCACCGTCGGCCTCTTTTACATCAAAATGAATCTGGCACTGTTATGTGCCAGATTCATGATCCGGTAGGGCCCTTGAAGCAACGCGTGGGCCTTTAGTACCCCACATGGAAGCCATTGGGCCGGTAGTACTAAACGACCGAGTTTCGGACGCCCAAAACCGCAAAGGTTTGGCGTGGGCGCATGTGATTCCTAGATAGTTTTGTCTGGTTCAATACCTATTAGTCTTTCTAACCTTGAATTCTAGATATGTAACGAAAATATAACTAATAATTCTAATTCTGAGGTTTGAAAATCAAGATTAAATCAAGATGAATTGTAACCTATTTTGTTTGACCTGGTTTGTTTGTCTATTTCTTTTGAATTTCACATCATTAGCCGTGTCGATTGTCGTATGTTTGGTTGTTGAATTACTTCCTGGGCAATAATCTTAGCCTGAGATTCGTAAATCGGAGGTTGGGAACCTCTGATTTCTTAAAAGTAATTTTCAAATCTTAACTCAGTCTCGTTTGATCTTCTGATTGTGTCGATGCTTAAATTCATGAGGTAGGTTATCTTGATTTCGAAATTATAGTCATTCTGATGTCTCAATAGTCATTCCTATGCATGGTTTTGATTCTTTATCGTATTTTTTTTTGTGTTTCCTACTCTATGTACTGGTACTTCCAAAAAGTGTTCCATCTATTGCTGGAAATTGTTCCTATATGTTATGTGACACCCGCGGCCGCGGCCGCGGGCATTTTGGCCGCGGCCGTGGCCGATGAGGCCTTGTCCACGGCCTGGTTTTTTAATTATTTTATTTTACCCCTAAAAATACTTCAATATATATATATATATATATCATACTTGCGGCGCCCTGGTGCGGTGCGCTGTGCGGTGGGGTGCGCTGCGCGCAGTGCGGCCAAGTGTCAATGAGCGCACTGTGCGTTGTGCGCTGCGCACACTTGTGCGTTGTGCGTTGTGCGCACAGGGCCTGGGGACCTGTGCGCACAGTGCGCCGATTCAGTAAAGGCCATGCATTTTTCGAGCACAGGCCGGGCCTGTGTACTGTTCTGTCCACGCAGGTCCAGGTAGTTGAAGTTGTTAAACTCTGTTTTATTTTCTTCCTGTTCTTTTGTTTCTTCCTATTCTTTTTGTTTTTGTTTGTCTTGTGATTCGAGCGGTTGAAAGGGGGGGGGTGTCCCACTGACCTGCATTTGGAGTGCGAAGACGAAACACGACAGCAGACATTCATTGCATCCATGCAATCGAGCGGCGGTATGGCATCACAAAAACACAGAAAACAAACTTTGAACAATTGATGATGCACACACACAACAAAGAATGAGAAAAACAACAGAAAGATTGACAAGAAGTTAAAAACTTATATGAAAAAGATCCACAAGTTCAAAATTCGAATTGCTTACTATGCTTAGTACCTTGAGTTTGTCTGCCCAAACAGCACAGCGGGTGCACCCTACGCAGCATGTTCCCCTTCTTCCTCCTCGCTCTCCTCCGGCTGCACCTCACCCTCACCGCCTTCTTCCTCGTCACGCTCCTCCGTTCCCTCCCCCCCACCGGAATCAGATGTGTCACTTGAGCTTGAATAAGTCGATGTTGAGCCTTCGAGCTCTTCGTCTCCCCGGATGTCTTCCGGGATATCGTCATCGTCGTCATCATTTATGATGGCGGCTCTCTTCGTCTTCCCAGCGGCAGCATTCTTCGTGGCGGCTTTCGCCGCTGCTCGGGCTTTGGCCGCAACGGCTTTGACCGCACCAGCTTTTGCTGCGGCAGCGTCAGCTGCTGCCTTGGAGGCCTTCTCTTCCGCCTTTCGTTCCCTGCGTTCTGCCTGCTCCGCCAATGTGGGACGACCCCTCTTCGGTCGTGGCTGTTGTTGCTCAACAACCTTCCTTTTGCCACTCTACACGGGCGCGTTGTCATCAACCTTCTCTTTGTCCTTGTTTGTGCGCCTCCTCCATGGTCCCTCCTCCCGACCCTCCACCCATGTGCCCGCCCGTCGAGCTGCCAATGCAAGAGCGTAGCCCTCCTCCGTATACAACTCTTGAGGCACAGGCAGCTCGCTGCCTGATCTCCTGCGCAACTCACGCTCACGGTATTTCCCAGGCTTCGTGCACTCGTGCCAATCGCGCTCCCGTGTACCGACGAGAACAGAGTCCTCCTCCTCACACAGCCTCTCGTCAACCTCGTCATTGCACTGGAAGGTGCGCCGCAGTGGAAACTCGTCTTCCTCGTCTTCGACGTCCGCCACAACCACCTCTTCTTCTTCGACCTCTCCGTGGACACGCTTCAGCCAATCTGTGTACCACTCCTCCATCTCCTTGTCCACCGGAACGTCATCCGCCCATGGGATGTGGATTTCATCCCCCCCGCCGTGCCGAATGCTCCTCAGAAGGAGCTGGTTTTTCGCAAAATCAATTGAGGTAGAACGTGTGATCTTCTTTGCAAGAGGTAGAGCACTCGATGGGCTAGGGTGGACCAAAGCTTGACCAACCCCAAGGAAACTCCGAATACTTGCAACTGAGCGGACATTCCAACTCTTGTACACAAGCTTGGCCATCCTCTCCGGCATGAGCTTCGTGCGCCTTCTCCCGTAGATGAGCTCATGCAAGCTCCATTTCCGCTCACAAGCAGCGGAGGAGCTTGCCTGGCCAAGCAATTTGATGGCTTGCAGTGCAAGGAGGTCGTGTTTGGAGCCAAAAGCCTCCCACCACAAAGCTGGTGGCTGCTGGCTGGCTTGCTCGCACGGCTCCTGTGTGGAGAACCCTTCTAAATCGTTGACCCACTGGTCAACCTCGAAGCTCACTTCTTTGAGCTTATCTCGTGGCATCCAGGATTATAGCCAAATGTTGAATCCTGCGTGAACCTCCGGGTCGTGCTGCGCATTCTGCTTTCGGTGCTCAAGATCCATAAAAACTGCAGCGCAATGCAGCTCGCTGGTCATGAATGACCAGCTGTCCATGAGGATGCGCTCCACCGCCTCGTGCTCCTTACTTGAAAGGCACTCGAGGGCACGCATGCGCTGAACAACCCGATCCATTTTGAAGTACACCTTCGAAATGGTCGGTCCTTGTCCATCTACCAGTCGAAGCAGCTCCACCACGATCTGCATCACATCGAGCGCCTTGTTAAGGTTGTTCCAAAACTCGCCCTTGTCTAGAATGATGGTCGTCACCTCATTGAACACCACTAACTGCTCTGCCCGTACCATCTTCTTCACCCATCCCACATCGCAAACGCAGCGATCCAGTGCATTCTTCTGTTCCTTCAAAGACCCGAGCATCGTGAAGTTCGTGGAAAATCTGGTTGCCGCAGGGCGCTTCAACTTTGAATTCGGTGAGTGAGTAGTTGTGGAACATGGCCCTCGCCTTGTCCACATTCGTGAAAAACTTGTCGACCTTGTTCCCGGCATCAACCACCTCCGCCATCCAAGGCATGTGCTTAAACATGTTCTCCAGCGCAAGATCGAGCGCATGCGCAGTGCATTCGACGCGAAAAATGTTCGGATAGGCGGCCTCCACCATCTTCCCTGCTTTGCAACCAGGATTTTTAGGAATAACTGTAACTAAACTAACCACACACTTTTCGAAAACCAACCAACCGTAACTACTGTATACCGGGCCTACCGCACCTTTACCTACCTCCAACTGATCCAAAAAAAAAAAAGAGGTAACTGTACCCGCCCGTACTTGAACCTCTGCAGACTGTAACTGCTCGTACCCGCCCTTTTTTTTTTTTTTTTTTTCAACCACCCATGGCTAACTGATCCGAAAAACAAAACAGGTAACTGTACCCGCCCATACCTGAACCACTGCAGACTGTAACTGCCCGTACCCGCCCTTGTTTTTTTTTTTTTATCAACCACCCATGGCTGACTGAACCCCGCCCGTGTCTTAACCACCCGTACCATACCCAACCGAAATTTTCCTAACCCGTGTCCACCCGTACACGCCCCCCCACCCACCCACAATTGTATGCATCTGCCTGTAACCGCCCGCATGTGTTACCCACCCTCCCCTAACTGGCCCTAATTGCCCCCAACTTCCCCTAACTATTGCATCAGATGTGCTGCTGCACTGCTGCACTGCAGCATCTGCTGCATCATCTGCTACACTGCTGCATCTGCTGCCCTAAACCAAATAACTCAGAAAAACAACTTCATCATGTGACCACATAAAAAAAAAAACATTCAGCAGACTCTACTTTTTTTTTTTTTTTTTTTTTTTTTAGTATCAAAACCTCGCGGTTCTGGCTCCTGCCATTCTGGGGAGCAACAGTCCGGTATGCTGCCCTTCTTTTGCCTTGTCGTCGCCAGCCTAAGCACCTCCTGAATCCTGAATGCAAAGATCTTAATCGCCTCAGTCTCCACGTGTCGCACCTGCAAAGCCGACGAAGGGGAGTTCTGGAGGATGGGAACGACAACGAGCGGCCACGAGGACTTGGACTACAACTGGCGGCAACATTGGGTGGCGGCGTCGATGTTTGGGTAGCAGCGCGACCGTCAAACGGTTGGGCGCCACTCGACTAGTTGGAGTAGTCCGAGACAATGGCGGGCTAGGAATTGGGAATGAATGTGGATGTACAACATTAGTACATTAGCACATAAAACCCTTTTTGTTTTTTGCCAAGGGGTGGCTGACTCGAAAACCCAAGATCGAAGTCGACCAACGACTCGAAATATTTTACACTTAGGCCGCCGGCAGGAATCCGAAGGAGGCAGCGAAAACCAAAGAAAAAAGGGCCTATGACTTCACATGGTGGGAAAGGGCGGGGGGGGAAGGGCTGGGAAGGGGGCAGGTGGGAATAGAAGGTGTAGTGATCCATGGTTACCCGAGTGGATCCTCTACCGGCCCGTACCCGCCCCCGATTCTTTTTTTTGCTGCCCGTACCTGTCCGTACCAGTGTCGGGCGACCAGAAGCTAGTCAGTCGCCCTAAAACCGGAAGATTGACCCGTAGAAAAGTCGTGTGAGAGGGAATCAACTGGGAGTCTTTTCCGAGCGGCTGGGAGAAATTCGGGGTAGTCAGGTCACCCCTAATTTCGGATGTCTCAACCATCGAGACTAGCCTCCAAAATTGACGAAAGGGACTACCGCTTCGCCGTCCTGACGGCTACCCTATAGTCAGCCTTGTTTCCGCTCGCTCCAAGCCTGTCCCCGAAACGACTGGTTGCGGGACGGTAATTTGAGAGTGGGCTTTGACAAGGCCCTTTTACGCTGGCCAACTGACGTGAGAATGGAGCCTCACATTTCATTAATTTTAATATTAGAATTAAAAATAGGAAAAAAGAATTAAAAGCAAAAGAAGAGAAAAGAAAAACGGATATTCGTGAATTTACAAAATTTTCTTAGCATTTAAATTCAATGGGACCGCCCTCAATATTTGAAATTTTTGGTGATAAAATTAAAAATAAGAAAAAAGGACAAAGCAATAAAAAGGAGAAAGAAAACAAAGAATTTTCATTATTTAATTAAATTTCATCGGAATTTATTTTTGACAGAATTACTTTTATTATTGCTATTTTTTATAATGGAATTAAGAAATAAGAGAAAAAAAATAAAAATAATAAGGAAAAAGAAAAACCATGATTATTAATTGATTGGCGTAATTTTGCTCCATTTATCCGCGATCGGAATTACCCCCGGATTATTTATTTATTCCGATTCTGACGATTTCCAGTATTTTGCGATGATTGGGATTTGCACGGGTGGCTTACCTGATTTCCCTGATTTCTAACCTTACCGCTAACTGTGTGCTATGAGTGCGGAGTGGACGGACGGCGTTATGTTATCGCCATGTTACTTTGATTGTTCCGCTCGGCTTCATCGCGTCGGTGTGGCCGCTGCTCCGGTTCGGATGTCAGGTTTGGGAGTTCGGAGTCGTCACGGGACCGCGGTATTGTACGACATTTGACGTGATTTTAGGTTCGGTGTTAGTTCTAGTTGGTTCAACATCGGTATGGTACACTTCACGACATTATGTTCAGGTTCGGTATTGGTTCGACATTGACACAGCACGGGTCACGGCGACCCCGGGTGATTATTTCAGGTTCTGCTTCGGTATGGTACATGTTACAGCGACTCGGATTGACTATTTCAGGTTCGACATTGGTTCGGTATGGGCTGTTGTGGTACAGACAGGTTAACTCAGTCTCGGTATTGGTATGCGAATGACTCGGCATTATTATGGGGCTGCGGTATTGTATGACGTTGGGCCGGTTTCGGATCCAGTATTGGTTCAGCAACGGGGTGGTACACGCCACCGCGTCATCTCCACGTTCGGTTTTGGCTCGGCACCGACATTCTCAGGTGCGGCATTGGCACCGCATCGGCACGGTAAGGTTGTCTCTTATTCGGGTTTGGTTCGGTATCAGGTGCGGTTCGACGACGGTATGAGCTACGACTTCAAATGATTAGAGCGATATGACACGGGCCACAGCAGTTCGAGGCGGTTGTTTCACGATTTAGCATTGAATCAACGTAGACACGATCATTGGTTGGTCGGAGCAGCTAAGGCATTGAGTACGGGACAACTATTATTGACTAGTGCCGGATGGCACTAGGTTGATGCTAGTGGCTGCAGAGCCGTCACACAGTCGGTAACACATCCGGTATTGAAATGAGACGTGTGGTGCTTGGTATGGCATTGTGGTTGTGCTACAGTACTCTTGTACCGATGCTGGTGGGACATACTTGCTGCTCAGCACGGAACCTAACATTGGTTGAGGTGGCTCCGGTCTGCTGAGCCTTAAAAATAATTAATTTTGATGTGATTACCAGTCTAACCTCGATGTGTTTACGGTACAGGCGATCGCAGCCTGTGACACTTACTCCAGGTTAGGAACTGGTGCTGACCTGACTAATGCGTTTGGAATGTTGAGACCGAACCTGGTAATTCTGAGGTGCGATGCTGTTTTTTTTTTATAAACCATGTGGGAAAAGGCCTTCAACTAAGGGTTGTGAATCTGTTTTCTCTACGGGTTGCTAGTACCGACAGGGCCCCCTCTGAGCTCGGTCTTTGGGCCTGGGTTTTCCAGCAGTCCATGGCCAGGGACTGCAGTCCTCTTATAGCCTGGATGGGGGACCTGGTACCACGGGTACAGAGAGTGCGAGCCCTCAGCAATGAACAGGTACCGCGAGGACCAGGGTTCACCTTGTGGGGGCTGCATCCGAGACGAGATATAGGACAAGACCACGAAAGCACAGGGGACATTGGGAATAGGCAGACTCGAAGGTATGCCAGGTGTACGCAGCCCACATCCACGTTGGGCGCAGGTAAGATCAACTCGTTGCGATTCAGGCGTGTGGAAGGCGTTCTCAGCCCTCGACAGCAGACTGGCGCAGGCAGGACGCTGGTTGGGGTCAACAGTCAGGTAGCCACAGTAGCCCGGCGACGGAGTGGGCAAGGCAGAGGGTGATCAAGAAAAGATCAGAGAGGGGAAGGCAGTGCGCGCGCCGTGCACAGCATCCAGCCCCTTGGCTACGTGCAGAACGCTCGTTTGGGAGGAGAGGAACTGTTGACCAGCGGGCGGGCACGGTGCAGACGACATTTAGACACTCTGTCTTAGGTCCAACAAGCACTGAGTTGCCAACCACAATTTGCTGATCGGTTTGATGCCATTAGACGGGCACCGCGAGGCGAGAGGAATGAGTGAGCAATGATACGGAAAGTGGACGGGACCAAGTTGAGAGTGCCAAGGACTGAGCAGTCACGAACAGGAGGTGGAAGAGGTGACTTAAGATCCGGGGGTATCATGAGCCCGTCCGTTCACATAAGGGCGTCCAGACAAGAGTGCAGACTCCTGAAGAGTGCAAAACTGTTGGTGTGACTAGTCACTAAGGCTGATGAGACAATCAATGAC